ACCCTCTTCTTTTATTTTGAAGATCGCTTTCACTTCAAAAGTAGTGCATCCGGAGGGAAAACAAACGAGATAAATGACCATGGACAGAGCTTCAAACAGTAATTTTGCAAAAGGTTTGCACCAACCGGGAGTTGAACCCGGGTCTGTACCGTGGGAGGGTACAATGATACCGCTACACCATTGGTGCTCAACAGCAACTTTCAGTGCTCCATTTTATAGCCAGTCAGCTTCTCACCGGCCGTGTCAATGGTGAGAAAGAGAAAAGCCAACTAGTAGAGACCAGAGAAGTGAAATAGTGCAGATTTGAGGAGGCGCGGATGCATTTGTGGAAGGGGAAATAGTGCACTAGGAGTAGAGATACAGCTGTTCTAGTTGAGCTGAGGATATGGCAAATGAATGTTCATAAATGAGAATGGCTAAATCTGTTTATGAATCTGTCCAGGGTGCGCCATGCATTCGATTTCGATCCAGATTTTCAATGGACGATTGACAGATACAAAGACGTAAAAGTCGATGTAAAAAAAAAGTGTTTTCAGCCTCCGAGGGGAGTTGGGCGAAACGGAAAGTAGGGAGGCCTCGTTGATTCGAGACCAGACTTCAGAAGGTGATCTTTAGGGCCTCGTGCGGTAAAACCGCCAGCTGCCGGTGAGCTAGCTGCTGCCCAGGCGTACGGCAAGCAGAATACGCTGGTAAAATGAATGGCAATATAATGGAAACTAGAAAAGATAAAAGTCCTCAATCAGAAGCAGGACTAACTAATGCTTGCAAACTTTGCTCACCCTGGAACGCTTTCAAAGCCGAACATTTCTCGAGCTACTTGCAGTAAATCATCGATCTCCTCATTAGCAATATTATCGCCTTCCCCTTCACTGGTGCACCATGAGGAGTACAACATTTCGTTCACGATATCAGAGCAGAATGCCTGAATTCGCTCTTTTTTGAGAACTCCGTGAAAAAAATTGAGCTACGGCGTAACGTCTTCCTTCGCTGCGGATGCTGGGGTGTGCCAGGGAGCGAAGGAGGGGTGGGGAACGCGTTTGGCGCGGGGCTAACTCGATCTGTAGCAATTGCTGTCGCTTGCCACTTCCCAACAACTGGTGCGAGACTGGCTGGCGCCGCGCCAAACAGAGCCTGCCTCACAAGCCCAGCATACACAGCGAACAAGAGCGTACTGTCGCGATCGCGAACCCTCTGCAGAAGCGTGAAGGGCACCCGTACATTGGAGATCCAGACGGGGGTGGTATTTAGTCGCTGAGGAGGAGGGGACGTATTTAGGTTGGTCAAAATTTTTCTATTTGTTAATAATTACGCGCGCTACATACCCTCGTACTTGACGGCAACGCGCAGCGCGAAACTACTACTATTTCTGATAGTTGATCGGAGCTGTCTACCAACCCCACCCCATTCAACATCAAATTTTTGGTAAAGATGGCTGGTCGTTTATTATGGAAGGAAATCCCGGAGAAGAAAATTTAGGGGGGGGGGGACCTCTAGGCATGACTGCTAACCAAAGCACGCCATCGCATTGAGTGAAATTTGGGCTAAATACGACCGCCTGCCCAATCCCGCCCCCAATTTCTTTCCTCCCTACGACCCCCACAGCCTACCTACTATCTTAAAAAATCATTCGCATTTTCTAAAAAATTACCGCTGACGGTTGCTGGGGTCGGTGGCGGGGTATAGGTAAGCACCCGGTATGGTAAGTAAAAACAGAAATAGCAGCTGTGTTGCGCAGCTCACTGGAGAGGGGGATATCTTCCTAATAAGCCTTAAACGGGAGGTCCAACAATGCCAAAAACCCAAATAAGACCCCGTACCCTTCCATAGAGCCCTCGTTGTGTTTTACACAACCATGATAAGCCCTGTTCCGCACACGAAATGAGGAACCAAAAAGGAAATGAACTAACTCTCTTCCTTCTCGCGAAAAAACGCCGGGTGTCACGTGTGTCAGAGAATTCTTTAGCGGCCAACTCTTGAATCGTTCTCTTACACTCATTGAATACAGACTGAAAATAATTTTGAAAAACAGTGAAAACGGACAAATCAAAAACCAAGACTACCGTAGAATCGAGGAAGTGCAGAGCTCGAATGAATAACTGATGAAGGCAACGATCGGAAAAGTCTGGACAACTGGAATATCTGAAATTTCAGCAAGTCAATCAACTGGGTCAACTGAAGAGTTTTCAGAAAAGATTTTATCTCAAACGTTATTCCGAAATGATATCAACCTCAAAAAAGGCCTCAAAGGGCGAGAAGGTCCAAAGAAGGTACCTTTCATAAGCTCTTTAACTAAACGCCCTAGGCGAACATTTCTCAGAATTTTAGTTCGGAAGGGAATGGCGTGGACATGGATCCTGTGAAAACGGAATTTCTCAAAATTGAACCCATCAATAAAACCGCTATCATTTTCCACAACAATTCCAAGATATCCCCAGGAGAGCAAAATGACCCATTGCTGGAAATAGCTCGCTTTCATAATAGGAGCTTCTAATACTGCTAAATGTACACTTTGTGCTAGCCAAGGGGGCCTTCCATGGCGCCCTTTTCACCAGAGCACCTTTCCCTCTCTAACACTTGAAGAAGCGTCCACGGTGGGACAAACGTGGCTCCGCGAATAGATGCCAATCAGTCTTTCTCTGCGAGCAACAAGCTTGTTCCGCAGTGGTAGCAGCTGCACCACTTTTTGCGGCGCAGAGCGTGTGACGAGGGCGCTCATGCCGTCGTTCCCCTCATTGAGCCCACCTTCACTGTCCTCGCCCCAGCTCTACCAAGTCATAGCCATGGAAGAGCCGCCATGGAAAGGGACAGGGACATAGTTTTCAGTAAAAAAATCAGCTGTACCAATTGTGGCGACCATATCGACCACAACGTTATTGTCCAGTGATCTCGTCCGATCACACCATTCGCTCGCCCTACGCTCGTACAAACGCACTTGCAAGGGGGATTGCATTTGGGGCATCGGCACGATTTCCTTCTTTTTGCTCCACCACTAACTTTCTTTCACATCCCTAATTGAGCCCTATTACCCAGAATAGCCGATCGCTTTCCTCTTAAACCAGGGAAAGTTCCAGTTCGCTAACCTGGCTGCCAAAACAAGAAAAGGATTTGAAGCTTCGGTCATAGTCTGTTCACATTCGGCAGGATATTCGGCACAGAACTGATCCGTGAAGATAGCTTCGATCAACTCAGATGGCAGCGGATCCGATACAATGACTTTGAAGGCAGATCTGAATGATCGAATTCAAATGAGGTATTTTTGAAAACAATATGTGGTACATGATAAGCACAATGACTCACTGGAACACATTTCTCACATCTTCGTCTTCATCGTTAATGAATGTCAGACTGGCTTTTACCAACTTCAGGTAGACATCTGGAGGACATTGCATGTGACAGATCGCTGTCAGCACCAACCCAACCGCATCTGAAGAACATTTTTCCCAATACCTTGAACTACTCAGAATCAGTTAGCCTTTTGCGGCATCGGGTCTTCACTGTGTGGTGGTAAATGGGCCGGCGCTGCGACAAAACCCACGCCCCGATTAATTCCTGACGATAAGGACTGAAGGCGATCAGCCGATACGATGGAACGCCTTCAGCCGATGTTTTTCATTGTCCTACCCTTTCCGATCGAAAACGTTTGACAGCGTCTGACAAAATAAAAAAAGTTATGGGAAAACGGGATTGAAGCTGCTTTCTATTCCCCGTCCATCCCCACATTTATTCAGTCGAAGTAAGTAAAAAATACCTAATCGTATATGCTTCTCTTTCTGATACTTGGGATCGGTGAGCACTTTGATGAGTAAGTTCAAACAATCCTGGCAGCTGAGCAACTTTTTCCTGTTCTGAAACTCGAGTGCCGGCTACCACTCTTTCACAAGCCGCACAAGTTACTCCAGTCGCTCCATGAACTTTGCTTTCCGGATGACTAGCACATAAAGAGTGCGATAAAGCGTTGAGAATACATGCTACGTCCACCTTGGAGTGCTGAAAAAAGCCGGTATCGTAGATAAAGTCAGCAATTAAATCAAACCTAGAAAAAACAAAGGAAACGGGCAATTAAGAAATGTTTCTCACAAGAGTGATGAGCCCTGAGCACCAATACCCAACGCATCGTCAGGTAATCAAAACACAGATCGAATCTTGAGCATAACAACCGAACCACACACTCTTCCATTTTCGTTTCAGGCGAGTAAGAAGATAAAACACTGATTTGTACAACAATGCTCAACTTCCCCCTTCATAAAACTTCGGCATTAGTGCGTAATTTATATTAGGTCATCCCATTCAAAAGTGCGCAAGATTTTATTCATATAAAACGAAGAGGAGAATAGATAAAAAAGTAATATTTTGGCTTCGAGTTAAGTAGATCCCTCCTTCACCAATGACCCGCTCCCAGTGCCCCGAAAGCCTTTGGACCTACCTTCGATTTTTCAACAAGTGCGAGTAAATTGCTGTTGATGCCAATTTCGGCGAATGACAAAACATTGTAGCGTTTGCCGTCGGAGAGTACCCTCGACTGACCAGAACAGTTGGAATCGAACGGCTTTATGTTGGGCGAATGGGGCGATTGAACCCAGCTCAGTATTGTTTTGCCCCAGCACTGCCCTGTAATAGAGTACCCGAGGTCTGGCACTATGACGAGCAACGGTGGCCTTCTTGTAGTTGTGTGGTACCATCCATTTGTCAATCTGATTGCCGAGGAACAGGCAATATACACCGACAGCGACGATTTTATTCTCTGTATAGAGCCGCCTGAAAGCCACAGTGTGGGAATCCTTCGCTATGATGATCATCCACTTGCGCCACGGTGAACTCGGCGCGCATTCTCATCTGTTTTCATACAAATAGACGAATGTGAGTTTTGGCTCGGAGTCCAAGACCACTCATATTTCATCTAGGACCGGGGTGCGTTTTCACTGTCGTGAATGACATCTCATGCTGAGACATTACTGCTAGAGGCATAGAATCTGCTACTGACATTCTGCTTCTACAAGAAAATTAAGTATGTGTCATGCGGCACACCACTTGAACCATGCTCAGATTTATCGGAACATAACTCGGGCAGGCAGTACGGATGCCAGTCTCGCGGCGAAGCTCGGCAAAGGTGCAGGTCTGTCATTCAGGACATCACGCGCCCTTTGTTTCCTGTTGCAGCGCTGCGATTGAGCATTTTATAGGAACATCCCACGACAACAAATTTTTTTCCTATTCTTACGCACTTCTTCGTGAATCGAACCTATCACTGTTGTAATTTCCGAGAAACAGCCATTACACACAACTTACCGGTAGCTGGCGCAGGTCAAATCCTCTCACACCGTGAAGTTTTTTTTATGAGCGCCAGATTCGAAAACCGGGATAAATAAGCCAAAGGCCACTAGCCTTCAAATGGCTATCTATAGTACTTCCGCTGCCTTGGATCCCTGTGCCCATTAGTTATTTTATGTCTTTTGACTTTTTAGAATTGGATATGAAAAAACTAATAGTTCTCCGCTTATTGAGCCAGAGATGCTGTTAAGAAACCACCACTACTTTATCGAAGATGACCCACCGTTTGTGAATACGTTGTGACGTGGCCATTCGTTGTTCCTCCAGACACCAAACTTCGCGCTCAAAGTTGTATAATGAAGCTCCTCCGCACCGACAAACGCCCTTTTTTTCGTCCCTCCCCCCTGTCCCGCGACCACAAATCTAAGCCCTGAGCATGTTTAGTGTACCGACGGCTGTCTAGTCGAAATGTCAGATCAATTGCAATAAAGAGTTCCATATGTTCACCTAGAGTCCTTTGGTACAACAAATCGAAAACTGCAAAGTTTTTTTCGAATCATACAGTATCTAGTTGACAGGTTTGCGACTCATACAGTTAACAGGCTTGCATCTGCCAATTCTCCATCCAAACACCAATGATTACACGTTGAAGTCAAATCCGTGGCGCATCCAGGAAGAATCATCAACGTAACAACCCGATATACTTTAGTGCTCTCTAGCTAATGGTAATTTTTGCTTTTCGCCTTCTCATCATAATCGCAGCTCAGCCAAAGCACCAGTGTCTCCCATTAGAGCGTGCTATTTCCATCTACAAATACATCTGCGCCTCCTCAACATCACACTATTTCCTTTCTCTGGTCTCTAGCAAAAGACTTTTCTATCTATTCTCACGATCAATGACCAGTTGGCTGGTTATAAAGGGAAGCCCAAAGAATTGCTGTTGAGCACCAATGGTGTAGCGGTATCATTGTACCCTCCCACGGTACAGACCCGGGTTCAACTCCCGGTTGGTGCAAATGTTTTGCAACTGAATCAGCTAATTCCCTGATCATGGTCATTCGTTCTATTTGCCTTTTAGCTTCTATGCACTAGTTCCCGCTTCCCGCAACAAAGATGTTCGAAATGAAATAATGCTTGATGAAACTCTTTGGGAAGCGCCATGCATCTGGATTTCATTAAGGTTGTGTGAGCAGTTCTATGTGAGGCTGGTCTATTCAAAGACGTCTAAACAGCTGAAATAATGAAAGGAAATAACTGAACGGAATAGGCTCCACTTTTAC